AACTCGGTAAATAGTCTAATTCGGTAGGTCACATTCGTGAAAAGGGAACGGGATTGTACTTACGACATTAGGAACATATCCGAAATCATTTGTGAAACGGAAATTCCATAAAGGTCAACCAACTTGTGATGGCGTCCGTAATATTAACGAAGATTTCGACTTCACCATTTGGAACTATAATATATATTCCTTGTGGGCTATGATACCTTATTTCATATATAGATGTCATTATTAATTTTCCTTCATGAAATTTCAAAACAAATACCGTACTTAAGGTATGCTATCTAAAGATAGAAAAGAATATTATGTATAATAAATAACCATTTTCCTCTTCAATATTTGTTTTCTTTTCTCAGGTTTATATATACAGACACGATAACAGTCGATTCTAAAAATGTAAGGAGCATTTTATATGGATCGGAAAAGTATATGATTCAGCTGTTAAAATATGAGTGTAAGGAATTCCTAGCTTCGAATGTAGATGTAGAACATGTATGCTTTGTACTGCAAACTGCTAACGACTTCAACATGGAAGACTTAAAAATAAAAGCGTTGAATTTCATTTGTAAAACCGGAAGTGGAATTCTTGATTCAAAAGATTTCTTAAATTTAACAGCAGAATGCGTTAAATTATTCCTTAATTCTGATAAATTTCGTTGCGAAGAGGAACTCATTTACCAACAAATGTTACAGTGGGGTCAACAGAAATGTAATGAAAAAAGTTTACAGGCAACGGATGAGAATGTAAGAGAATGTCTTGGTGATTTGTTATATCTCATACGTTTTCCAGTGATGAGACCAAAGTATTTTACGAAGGAGGTTTCTTGCAAAAGTGTACTAACTGCAACCGAGATAATAAAAGTTTTTCAACATCACAATGATGAAACAACAGATATATTTCCTTCAAACAAACGTATTTCAAAAATTAGAATTGAAAGGTGTCAAGTTGACAAGACCTCAAGTTGGAATTGTGAAGGATCAGATGATTGTGTTGACTTCAAAACCTCTTCAAATGCAAAACTTTCTGCGGTCTCCTTGTTCGGATCAAAAACATATGCTGGAACTCATAATGTAAAGATAAATATCATACACAATTCTTCCGTCCTAGGTACAACACAAACAACATTCATGTCCAGTGCAGGTCAAGAGGTATATGAAATCAAGTTGACTCCTCCTGTCAACATCCTGCCGAATAAACAATATACTATACAACTTAATATCACTGGACCACCAACATTCTTTGGAAAATCATACATTCAGAAAATGAAAAGTGAAGAGGGTATGTCGGTCAATTTTTTGCAGCCTTCCTTGCCATCACCGAATAATACAAATGAAGCGCAAGGACAAATTCAAAGACTTATCTTTCTTTAGTAATTTGCCTCATTAACAAGAAATTGGATTACAAATACTGTGAAAACTTTTGATTGTATATAACTTTCGTCTTTGCGAAATCTTTGTGGATCGATACATTATCAACTGACACAGAAGTCAAAATTTTTTTTTATTATTTGACTTTTTAATTCCATCTCAAAATTGTGTTATCTGCTTCGGCAGTTTCTTACTTTTTAAAATGAAACACAAGTATACAAGAAATTGCAATGCCAGTATCAGTCCAACAACACTATAACAAATTGTATGAAAAAAGTCTTCAGAATTACTCAATAGCTGCCAACTTTGAATATTGTCATATTGCTGGACTAACGTCGGGATATATTTCATGATACTGTTAAGTCGTAAACAGTGCGAAACGACACGATTTGTGCAACGTTCAAAATAAATTTACACTGAATACAGGGAAAATTAATGAAACATTTTGAAAATTTCATTTTTAGAAAATTATAATCGTGTTTAGTTCTTTAACAAAAGACGAAAATGTGTCCTTTAAGCCAAAAAGAAAGACTAGAGGCTTTCTAAACTTGAACTCGTTACATGTATTAATGTTATTACGGTAAACAACTCGGTATGGAAAGAAAATAATACCATTAAACGAATGCGGTTTTAATCTTACTTGTAACAAAACGGATATGGTCAATTATAATTCAACAAGAATTTTTGAAAAAATAAGATATCTTTATCCCAATTGAAAACGTTATAGTGATACGAATAAGACGTGTATTGAACAATTCACATCTTCACCGTTTGAATCAACTAAAAAATGATCATGTCATACGTAGGACCCAATGAACAAATAGAATTGTTAAACTTCATAGGTGTTTCTTTTAGTCCTTGATAAAAGAACTTTTCATTCCAAAATTTCAAGTTAGACTATTTCCTTTCTGTCTGTAAAAATTCCTTATAGTAACTTCTGACTTTCTGATCATGTTTCCCGACCCCTGAAGTTTAGTGCATTAAAAATTCAAAAGAGAAGTTTCAAGACTTTCTTTTTCTCGAATGAGACTCATTTATAATTCGTACGAACATGAGGAACACGATGGGGGCACGTGTATACCAGGTGCACCTGATTTTACCCATTATTATTGCTGAGCTTATGTTGCCCAGTCCTCTAGTTTTCTATGTTGTGTTTTGTGGACTGATGTTTTTGTTTTCACCGTTTTTCTTCTTATTTTGTTTTGCCATGGTGCTAACTTTGTCAGTTTGTCTTCGAATTATGTGTATGACCATAAATATATTAAGTCGTTTTACGGTACTTTCTATTGTATCTATTGCGATAAATAAAGAAGTGTTCAGATATTTTGCCAGCTTCATATTTAGATTTGTCATGTCAAGTGATTAATCAACATAGCAAACAAAAACCATAAACACATAAGAGACAACTATAGACGACAAACATACGGTCAAATACATTTAAAAGAATGTGAGTCATAACAAATACTAAAATACCATTTTAAGACTATACCATCCGTTGATTAATTAAGACCTTTTGGAATATTTAGTACAATGTAAAATGTCTATCTGGTAACGGGCTCGATCAGACAGTTTTATTCGAATTAATTTCTGCCAATTATCATGAGAACAATAATAACTATAATATATAAACTAGAGGCTCTCAAGAGCCTGTGTCGATCAACTGACTCTACTTGGGTTTTTTGATATCATATAAAAAAATATAAAAATCATAACAGATACTTTAATAATGATTGAGGCCATATTTAGTTTAATATTGGCCCCATAATTTAATAATAAATCCTGGTGGCCATCTTGAACAGTAAATCAGCAACAAATTAGCAACACTTCATCAGCCCCTCATAAGGAACATGTCATAAATGTTGTATGTATTTCCCATAGGGTCCTATGTTAAACTAAGTCCCCTGCTGGCTGCCCTCTTGGATGACGTATCAGCTACAAAGTAACAACACTTGGTCAGCACCTCATAAGGAACATTCATGCTATGTTTGGTTTCATTCAATTTTGTGGTTTTCTAAAAGAAGACATTTGTATGTATTTCCTTTAGGGTCCTATGTTAAACTAAGTCCCCCGCTGGTGTCCATATTGGATGATGTATCAGCTACAAAGTAACAACACATGGTCAGCACCTAATTAGGAACATTCATGCTATGTTTGGTTTCATCCCATTCAGTGGGTCTCTAAAGGAAGACATTTGTATGTATTTCCCATAGGGTCCTATGTTAAACTAAGTTTTCCGCTGGCGGCCATCTTGGATGATGGATCAGCTACAAAGTAACAACACTTGGTCAGCACCTCATAAGGACCATTCATGCCATGTTGGGTTCCATTCCATTCAGTGGTTCTGTAGAAGAAGTTCAAATGTAAAAAGTTAACGGACGACGGACGCCAAGTGATGAGAAAAGCTCCTGGGCCAGGTGAGCTAAAAATGGATCAGCAAGACAATACCTTTAAATAATTGAATATCCAAAATTGTCAGTCGAATCCTTACGGAAATTTTTTCTCTTACTAAATGTTTTTTGTTCTTTTGTTTTTTGCGTTTTTTTGCGAAAAATATAGTTGACAGAGAGAAACTGTAAACAGCCAAGATGAGAATCAAGTAACAATCGACATTTATGAAAATCAAATACCTAAGATGCACAGTAATACAGCTCTAACTTAGAAAAAGTTATTTATTCATGCATGCCGTCAACCTTTTTATAATACTTTTCAATGTTTTGAATTTAAATTACATTTTACCTCATATCATATAAATGTTCACTTCAAAAGTTGTGGAGTTTTATTTGTAACTTTAAATACCAATTACAAAAGAACATGAAGAAAGCAAAATATATTTATAACTAGATTTACATGTGACCTTGGTGACATAATATTTATCAACAAATATTTAACCATTTACTCCTTTTTGAAGTTGGCTATTGTTTCTCATTTGGTTCTATTTGGTCAAGTCTAACTAATTAGTTTGCATCCAGGTCTAATTACATGTATATTTGAAATCATATGATAAAAGATGAAAAAATAACAAAATTCAATCAGAGTCATTTCTTGTCGTGTTTACTTTAACATGCATGACACATGCTCTTGTTTCGTGCTGTTGTTGGGATTGAGAAAAGAAAGCTTCGATTTAATTTTGATTTTGTCCTTCGAGAGGCACTCTATTTTGATACGTTGATTTAAAGCAATTTTTCAAACATCCGACATTTACAAGAGTATGCTTAGATCATATAGATTGATTTAAAAAAAACTTTCTTTTGATGTAAAAACTATAGTGGTTTGTCATCCCATGATAGAACTGTTGGACTTAAACCGTTAAAACCAAAACGGAGCTTTTTTTTCTTTTATTTAATTTACCTTGCCAAAAGACATGCTAAAAAATAAGGATAACTTTATCCTCGTGCAACTTTTCTACACGTAACAGAGACATTTTATTCAAGACAATACTATGAGGACATAAAGTTTTAATTTTGTTTCAATGAGATGCATTTAGTGTAAATGTGGACAGGGGGTTATTAAAATCCATAGCCCTGTTGACCAAAAGCCAAACAAATGATGTGTACGCATGTGCATTTTTAATTTTCAATGAGATCTCTTTTTATTTGTTCAGTAATTATGTTTTAGAATATCATGGAAGCAAAATCTGATTGGCAAATAAGAACATCACTCTCAGACCGAATGAAGTATATGCTGAACAACCAACTTATGTGTGACGTCACCTTCCACGTCGGAACAGACAAGACACCAATCAAGGCTCATACATATATGCTGGCTAGTTCCAGTCCTGTATTCTACAGCATGTTTGAAGGACCACTAGCAGAGAAAGGGACTGTTGAAATTGTTGATATGGAACCGGAATATTTTAATATGATCTTACAGTAAGTTAAAATAACTCTTTGTATTGTTTAAAAAGTCATTCCCCGTAAAAAGTAGTTTTGACTGTGACGTTTTGCGCCCGAAGCAAGTGTCGAGTTATGCACCCACATAAAATATGTATGGGATATATAATAAAATTTAATATTCCTACTATTATGTAATACAGATTACTGGAACCTAGTATGCATACTATTATTCAGTAAGGAATAATGAAATCCTCTTTATCATATTTTATATAATTTTGAATAACATAGATATACGCACAGCAACTAAACATATGAATAAGTAGAATAAATTCTTTTCTATTGAAAAAAACGATAAAAGACAAAAGCGAAAGATACCAAAGACACAATCAAAGTCGAACATAAACTGACGAACGAAGACAAAATGACAAACAACCGTTTACAAAACAAAACAGAAAACGAACGACTGAACGAAACGAAACTCAACAAAAACCTCGGTGGTGAAAATAAAAAATTATTCAAATTCAGTCCTAATAGTGGAAAGAGTCAAACTAACTGTTTGTGATATGTTTCATAGAATAATGTCGAATTATTCTGTGAACAAATCCCTAGGAGGTATATAATACATTAAAGACGTAGTACTTCATGCAATGACATACAACGAAAAAAGACAAAATGACACACAACAGTATAAAAAACACCACAGAAAACGAAAGACTGATCAACACGAAACCCACCAAAAAAACCGAGGATGTAAACAATAATCATTCACTTTGAGTCCTAATCAGTGGAAAGAGTCGAACTAACTGTTTGTTATATGCTTCATAGAATAATGTCAAATTAATCTGTGAACATATCCCTAACAGGTATATAAAACATTAAAAACGTATATGTAAATATCCTATTCAACATACAGATATCTTTGTCAATGTTGATTTCCACCAATGAAATGTCAAGATAAAAATACTTTTATTATACGGACAATAACACAAATTGTTTACTGCAGCTTTAGATAGAAAAGAAAATTATGTAAACATGGTAAAGGAATAACCAATGCCTCTTCAATTTTTTTCCGCAGATTTATATATACAGACAAGATAACTGTCGATTATAACAATGTAAGGAACCTTTTATATGGATCAGAAAAGTATATGCTTCAGCTGTTAACAGAAGAGTGTAATGCATTTTTAGCTTCACATGTGAATGTGGATCATGCATGTGTTGTTCTACAAGCAGCACACGACTTCAACATTGAAGACTTAAAAACGAAAGTATTGAATTTTATTTTCATCAACGGAAGTGAAGTTCTTGATTCCAAAGATTTTTCATTTATTTGTCAGCGGAATGTCTTAAAATATTACTTGGTTCTGATAACTTCCGCTGCGAGGAGGAACACATTTACCAAAAAATGGTACACTAGGGTCTACATAAATGCCATGATGAATGTTTAGCAGCAACGGACGAGAATGTCAGAGAATGTCTTGGTGATTTGTTATATCTCATACGTTTTCCAGGCATGAGTCCTAAGTATTTTACGGAGGAAATTTCGTGTAAAAGTTTACTAACTGCAACCGAGATAATAAAAGTTTTTCAACATTTTAATAATAAAACATTTGATATTTTCCCTTCAAATAAACGCATTGCATCTAGAATTTCTATATTGAAGATTAGCAGATGTCTATTGGACAAGTCAGCAGATACTTCTCGGAGTTTCTTTAAGAAAGATAATTGTGTTGACTTCAAAACATCTTTAAATTCAAAACTTTCTGCGGTCTTCTTGTTTGGATCGAAAACATATTCTGGAACTTATAATGTGAAGATAAATATCTTTCATGGTTCATTTGTCCTCAGTACAACACAAACAACATGCACATCTAGTCCAGGTCATGAGAGTTATGAAATTAAGATGATTGATCCTGTCAAAATACTGGCGAATAACCGATATACTATACAACTTACTATCGAAGGACCACCCACATTCTGTGGAAAGCTTTATATTCAGTGTGTTACACCGGCAGAAGGGTTTTCTGTTACCTTTTTGGCGCCATCCTTACCATCGCCGAATAATACAAGTGATCGCAAGGACTAATTCTTGGACTTATCTTTGAATTGTAATTGTTTACGTGAACGTGAAATGTTATTAAAATATACATGAAGACAACAGAGTATATTTCTGCTTACTTTTATAAATGTAATCACTGAATATGCTATTACAAAGGTTGAATATGAGGAAAGAAATGTGATGTTTTACGAGATTGAGAAAACATTCGTACGACACAAAAACAAAAAGAATAGATACATTGTAAGTGTCCATTAAATATGTCAAGTATGAAATCTTCTTTTCCCTTTTTTAGAAGTATAGTAAGACAAGGTGTGAATAATTTTTTACCACCAATGAACATCTCAAATCTTCTTAAGCAAACATAATAAGATACAACTAAAGCTGATAATGTTTCTGAAAATGAAAATGTGACGGGAATATACCTTTTCTTCATCACTTAATTTTCGCGTTTTGAATTTTGCTCAGTGAAATAACAAAAGTTAACGTTAAATAAAAAGTGTTACTCATGTACACATTATCATTGTATGTCCCTTCGTGTACCTTTAGTAAGTCCACTATAATCTAAAAACAAAATGAATAATGTTCGAGACTAAATACACTACTATATCCCAGACACATGTTCATGTTCCAGGATCCTTGTCAGTGCATGAATTTTTTTTTTTCATTTAAAAAAAATAAATGCTTATTGTAAATCTTTAATAGTATCTGTTGATTTGATTATTTTACAATCTGTACTTTCTAGAGCTTGCAATTGACACATTGTACAAACACATGTCCTTTATTATAGACGGTATATTGCATTTGACCTTTTTTTTTTTATTCGTTTGCTTGCTGTTTCAGTGACGAATACTTAACTCGTCCTTTGTTCATCACATAAAATAGCCATGACACTACCAGTTCATGTTCAACAACACTATAAAAAATTGTATGAAAAAGTCTTCAAAATGACTCAATACCTAGCTGCCAACTGTAAATGCTCTCATATCGGTGGACTAACTTCGGAAAAGATTCATACTGTAGCGCCATAAACAGTGTGAAACTACACGATTTGTGTAATGTCCAAAATAAATTTATAATTAATATAAATGCCCGGAAAAATCAAAGAAACACATCAGAGACAACTCTAGACGACATACATATATGGTCAAAACATTTAAAAGAATGTCAGTCATAATTAACACTGAAACCATTTTAAAACTTTGCCATCAACTTAGACCTTTTGCAGTATTTAGCACATTGCAATATGTCCATCCGGTAACGGTCTCGAAGTGACAGTTTTTTTCGGATTAGACCAAATCTGGTTCCGCATGTTAATCTTTTAAAAATACAATCATATTGTGCTGAGACCAAAGATCTGAGAGTTTTTAGATTAATACTTTTATTTCATTACAGCACAGCATGAACCCATGGAGATTGTGTCCTAAGTCTTACGTGCGAAAAACAAAAAAGAAGTTAGGCTTTATTTTTAATTTGTGAAAAGGAAATCATTGGTAAGATAAAACTTAAGTAAAGAAAGATGAGTTGATTAAAAGCTTGAAGAAATCGAACCCGCGACACTCTGTTAATTTGGCTGACACTGTTTGTATATTTTCGTCTTTTGATATGTCTTCGGTTCTTTATATGTAAGTGTGATAACCATACACGGAGACGACTTTCACCTCGACAAAGGAACACACGCGATCGATTACTAGGAATCTTTGAGTCTGATTATACAGATTTGTTTGAGGCTTCCAATAACTCTTATGAAAAAATTGATACAAAGTATGTAAAAGATAAGTAAATGCATTAATAAACTCGTTATATATAAAAAAAAATCCATGAAACTACTTTTTCTATTGCTATAGCATTATCCTCTTAAAGAATGGATGTATTCTGAATATTATAAACGCAAGGGACCAGGCCTCGTACTCACATTTTTTAATGTTTGGGTTTCAAGCGCTACTTGAGTGTGACTGCGCTCACAAAAGCTTTCTAAACAGGGTTATACATTTAGAGTAATTATTCAGAAGCACTTATACCTCAAAGTTGGTATTTGCGGAGTGTACATATAGGAGTAAGAGTACATTGGTCTTCCAATGTCAGAATTTAGTGACCGAAAAAAGTGAACCGTGTGTTCCTTTGGGCTACCTTGTTATACATTGCGTCGAAAGTACGACTATAAAATGCATGTTCTAAGCAGTAAATCTTCATATATAAATCGGATATGTTATAGTCATTAGTATGCATGCATAAGCCGCTGAACGTTAAAGTTAACAATTAATTAATCTGATATCGGTACTTCCAAGATATTAAATATGTTAAATATGTATATATGTAAAAAGAGATATATTGAGCTTTAGCAACGGTTACCATGATTTGCAGATTTTGCATTATTCGTTATTAAACAAATCAGTGCGAATTCTCATCCAACATCGCTTTTTGCTTCATTTATGCCTTATTAAGACAATTTTTATGTTTGTATAAGCATAAGTAGAACATAATTACAATTATAATTTTTGTTCTGCCAATAAACATGAGAACTATAAAAACTTTGGATGTAAAAATGACCAGGAAGACAAGATCTTAAAAAAAGTCAAATATATGGGTTTTGCTATTTTTGGCAAAAAGTATAGTAAACAGAGAGAAACTGTAGATAGCCAAGATGAGTAGCATACATATAACTATCTACGATTATCAAAGTCAAATAGATAAAATAGTCAAAGAAATCCTTAAAGGGAGACATTACCGTTTAATCATGATTTTTATCCTTTTTTGCGTTATTGCCGAAAATTTTGGTAGATATAGAAAAACTGAAAACAACAACTATGACTATTTTTTCAAAAACAAGATCAGTAATCTCCTAATAAAGGCTATAAGTAATAGTTATACACTGAGGGATAGGTGTTTCTGGATAAGAAACCCCGACGGCCGGTGACCGGAGTGGTTTCTTATCAAGACACGCCCTATCCCGAAGTGTATAACTAACTTACACCCGATGCTAAACTCTATATTTGTTTACATTGAATATATTAAATGAAAAAGAGTGGATAGCATTTTTATTGATAATATCAAAGCATGATAAATATGATTTTTTTTTAAATGATACCCCACTGGTAACCTTAATTTGACGATCTTCATTCAATTTTGGACAAGTGAGTAGATTTTACATATTCCCGTTAAATTCATGTGCTAATATGGACCAACAGGTCAAAATTGGCTGTATCATGCATTTTTATTACAAAAAAAAAATACATCATGCTCCTTGTATGCATTTGTCAGTATGGACGGGTATAAGACGGACGTCATTTTGAGTCATGCGTTGGATTTGGCAGAAGAGACTAAAGATAACGCAATATTGATAACCCAAGTACTTACATGTTTCAGTTTAATAAGGTTAATCATAAAATTAATGTATTTTACGTGTTACGGTTTTATCAACCCCCCCCCCCCCCCTTTTCTTCTTAACATTAAACAAACATTCATATTCGAACATATTGAGGGAAATGTGTGTCTGGATTAGAAACCCGACGACCGGACACGCTCAACATACAAAAATACAGATTGCATTTGTAGGAACCCTCCTTTTTGGGGGAAATCCAAAAGGGGGGATTCCGGGGTTTGAACCACCCTTTTTTTGCGATCAATGCTTTTGAATGGGGAAATATGACTGGAACCCCCTTTTATTCTGGGTTGGCACCCCTTTTTAAAATGGCTGGATCTGCCCCTGGGTGCCATCATTAGTCTTCAACAAGAGCGCTTGATAAAGAGAAACTGTAAACAGATAACACGATGAGCAACACAAGATATAAAAGTGATTTTAGGCATGAATTATATTCTAGTCTATACTGTTGGAGAGTTACCATTGTTGAAGATGCAGTCATGTGACACAGCTAGGCGACACAGCTATAATTGAGAAAATGTACTACCCCATGCATAACTCAGCACTTTTTGATAATACTTTTCAATATCTTAAATTAAAATAGCATTTTGCATCATTTTGATAAATTGTTCACGACAAAAGTTGTGGGGTTTTATTTGCAACTTTAACATACCAATTACAAATGAAAGCAATATATATTTATAACTAGATATATACACGTGACATGGTGTTTATCAGCATATCATATATATAACATTTTACTTCCTTTTTGAAGTTGGGTATCGTTTCTAATCAGCTTTTAATTTTGTCATATTTGGTAAGTCTGTTTTAGTTTTTTTATTGAGAATGCATTCAGGTGTAATCATTCTTAAACATTTTGAAAGCATATGATAAAAGACAAATTTTTATTTCATTTTTATGTGACGCATGGGCTTGCAATCCTTTTCAGTTTTTACACGCCTGTTGTCGATGGGGCGTGTTAAGGTATACCGTAGTCATGTGTCCATCCATTCAGCCGTCCGTTCACCCGACTGTATGTCAACAATAAATCTTATTTGTTTAAACCAATTCTCATGAAATTACCACAATTTTATGATTAACGAGATGATGTGTCCCCTTTTGATTTTGAGCAAATTTTGGTTTAAAATTGTCTATCCAAAGTTATAATTGAAGGCTATTTTTCATATTTCACAAAATATAACTCGAGTTAGCTAAAACCAATTTTCTTAAAACTTAATGCTGTTGTTGGGATTGATAAAAGATAGCTGCTCTGTTTTTATTTTCATTTTTTTATGTGTCGTACTAGAGTAGCTTAAGAATGAATCCCTAGATATTAAAGGAAACACCTTTTGATGTTGGAAATTTTTGGGTTTGTCTTTTCAGAGTTATTGGACTTTAACTATAATATTTAAGGTGATGTTTCACATGTAACGCACAAGCTCTAAGAGGCATACTACGAACTGCTGCTTGTGTTGGGATTGGTGAATGTAGGCTCTTTATCGATTATAAAAAAATTTGCTGGTCTGATGTTCCAGAGTTGTAGGATTTATCAGTCGTATTATAGGCAATATGTATACTTCTTAGGATAATTTATCATCATGCAAACTTTTCTACATGGCAATTATTTACTTCTCATTAAAAACTTTTAAATAATCATTTTTTTTCATTAGAAAAATTAAAATATGCAAAAAAAATGGCAGATCGTGCGCCATGGCGCAGTTGTTTACTTGTTATAACATTTCTTATTTGTGATTTGCATTCCTGGCAAAATTATCTAGAGCACAGGATTGAATTCTTTATATACAAACAGGCTATGTGTGTTTGGTAACTACGAACATTGACTACTTTTGATATGGTTTTAGGTTTTTCCACTTTCTGGTTATAGCAAGCTATAGAGTTTGAGATGCTTTTGAGATGTAAACACAGTTCTTTCTTTACATGATCCTTGACATGTGATACCTGTTGTGTTGCCCTAAAATTAATTGATTAAAACATTCCGTCTTCAATGGTATTTGATGACAACTTATTCAAGAGAGTAGAAGGGCGGGATTGTAACAAGAGCAAATAAAAGTTAGCACAGGTAACTACATATTACAGAAAAGTTTATTTTAGTAGTTCCAATGAACATGGTGCATTTAGTGTTGATGGTAAGCAAACTATGTTTGAAGTTTTTTTCTTTGTATTGACCCGATGCGTTTTCAACTGATTTTTATAGTTTGTGATACACCACCGACCTAGGTTAGGGGAGGGTTGAGCGCTCACAAATATGTTTCACTCCGCCACATTTATTTTGCCTGTACCAAGTTCAGTGGTTATCGTTGGTTCATGTCTGTCATATTTGTTTTTCGTTAATTGTTTTGTTTTAAATTAGGCCGTTAGTTTTCTCAATTATATTGTTTCATAATTTTCATGTCGGGGCCTATTATTACCGACTATATGGTATGTGTTTTTGTTTTTTTTTTTTTTTTCATTGTTGAAAGCCGTATTGTTGCCTATAATTGCTTACATCCACTCTAATTAATTTTTATCCATGGTGGATACTTGTCTCATTGGCAATCATATCACAGCTCCTTATTTTTATAAGAGTCAAAGGATGTCAGTGTATTTTGATCACGTTTTGGGCTTATGGAATGTAAATATTTACAAACGTCTTATTCAATTAAAGCCTTTTTATATTAACTTCCCTAATTATTGGAAACAAATGCAATCTCATAATTGAAGGTGAAAAATGATTCGTAAAAATATTTTAAAAGTATTTTTCAAAAAAAATATTTTAAGACCTGACCGTTCCCTAGTACCAACCAAATGTCATACAAATAATGCGAGCTCGTGTAACTATGTGTTTGAATTCCAGTCAGATATGCCTTCTCATTTGTTTTATTATTTAATTTTAGAATATCATGGAAGCAAAATCTGATTGGCAAATAGGAAAATCACTCTCAGATCGAATGAAATATATGCTGAACAACCAACTGATGTGTGATGTCACCTTCCACGTCGGATCAGACAAAACACCAATCAAGGCCCATAAATATATGCTGGCTTGTTCCAGTCCTGTATTCTACAGCATGTTTGAAGGACCGTTGGCAGAAAAAGGGATTGTTGAAATAGCTGATATGGAACCGGAATGTTTTAATATGATCTTGCAGTAAGTAACTATAGCACATTGTATTGTACAACAAGTCATTCCCGATTTAGAGTCGTTTAAACTGTGACTTTTAGGACCGAGGCAAGCGTCGTGTTATGCATCCAGATGAAATATGTGTGTTATATATAATGAAATTTAATAGTCCTACTATTATGCAACACGGGTTACTGGAACCTAGTATGTTAACTATTATTCAGTAAGGGATACTGAAATGAAAGAGTTTGCCTCTATTTTACATTTTATGTAATATGGAATAACAGAGATGTACGTACGGGAGCTAAAATATGAATAGGTAGAATAAATTCTGCTATCGGACCGACTATTAAAAAACCAATAAAGGATAACAGCGAAAGATACCTAAGAGACAATCAAACTCATAAGTCGCACATAAAATCAACATGCAATGACATACAACGAAAAAAGACAAAATGACACACAACAGTATAAAAAACACAACAGAAAACGAAAGACTGATCAACACGAAACCCACCCAAAAAACCCGAGGGTGGTAAACAATAATCATTCACTTTCAGTCCTAATCAGTGGAAAGAGTAGAACTCACTGTTTGTTATATGCTTCATAGAATAATTTCAAATGAATCTGTGAACATATCCCTAACAGGTATATAAAACATTAAAGACGTATATGTAAATATCCTATTCAACATACAGATAGCATTGCCATTGTTAATTCCCCCCCCCCCCCATGAAATGTCAAGATGAGAATACTTTTGGTATACGGATAATAACGCAATTGTTTACTGCAGTTTTAGATAGAAATGAAAATTATGTAGACATGGTAAAGGAATAATCACTGTCCTCTTCAATTTTTTTCCGCAGATTCATATATACAGACAAGATTACTGTCGATTCTAATAATATAAGGAACCTTTTATATGGATCAGAAAAGTATATGCTTCAGCTATTAACAGATAAGTGTAATGCATTTTTAGCTTCAAATGTGAATGTGGATCATGCATGTCTTGTTTTACAAGCAGCACACGACTTCAACATGGAAGACTTAAAAACGAAAGTATTGAACTTCATTTTCATCAACGGAATAGAGGTTCTTGATTCAAAAGATTCCATAACTTTGTCAGCGGAATGCATTAAACTATTACTTAGTTCTGATAAGTTTCGTTGCGAAGAGGAACACATTTACCAACATATGCTACAGTGGGGTCAACATAAATGCAATGATAAAAGTTTACCGGTAACGGATGAGAATATAAGAGAATGTCTTGGTGATTTGTTATATCTGATACGTTTTCCAGTCATGAGACCTCAGTATTTTACAAAAGAAGTTTCTTGCAAAAGTTTACTAACTGCGACCGAGATAGTAAAAGTTTATCAACATTTTAATTTTAAAACAACCGATATTTTCCCTTCAAACAAACGCATTTCTAAAATTAAGATTGAAATAGGCCTTGCTAAAAGGCGGAAACAATAAACGGAACAGAAACCGAAAACGGAAACGGAAACAAGTAGTTTTTTTATCTTTTTCTTTCGGTTATTTTTGTTCATAGGCATGTTGTTTATAGTATATCTCATGTTTACAGATGAAAAAATTGAAGACAAATCTTTGAAAGAATAAAATATTGAAATAAATGGCGGGAGAGGAAGAACCAAGTTATTTAATAAAGGCATGCATATTGAACTTAATTTGATTGCATAATCCACTAGCAATTGTTTCATTAGTTCATATTTTACTTTTGCATTTTTGACAATGAACGAACGTCGTTCATGCGATTCACTAGTCTGTTTGATTTTTATGATTTTCCCTACAAAAAGAAAGAGATATGTTGGGTAAACATCAATATGATAGTAACACAACAACACAAAGTTATTCTACATACGGCCGAAACCGATTGACATTCGCCTCGATTCTAGATAGATTGTGGAGTAAATCATTTTTGGGGGAAATGCTTCTCATCATTTTTCTTTGTTTCTTTTTAATTGCTTTGAATAAGGGCTAATGTTGTGGTGTACATGTATCTTAATAATATTGTTTTGTTCTGCAGTGGTGATTTTCCTGCTATTTTTTCTTGTATAATAATGGAAAAAAGGCGTAAGAGAAACCCGATGGGACAATTAAGTATGGACAACAACAGATAATTGGAAACTGAGAAATAGACATTGGAACTTGGATACACTTTGATTTTATTTAACACTTCACAAAATCACTTGTTTATCAGAGGCTCTTACGCCCGATACAGAAGTACATTGTTGGTATTAACGTCGAAAAAGCATTACCATATGCTCTTCAAGACTTAAAAGAAAAACAAAAATTGCGGAAACCAGTACATGGATATACGATTTGCACAGTGCCCTTTTCAAGCTAGCCGTAGTCATGTCCAAGGATTTCCAAAAAAATCAACCTATCCACAGTGTTTTGAATGTCATGCTGCCTAATTCTCTGAAAATTCAGTCCCATTCAAGTAGCCATGAAGTTTCAACGTTATTTCATAATAACACAATTGAAAATATTGTCACTCCTTTCGTATAATGTTTTAATCATTACTATAATTGAAAACATTAACATAGACATGTATTTATATTCGATCATCATGAGCATGATCATGCTAGAGGAATGTTGAAATTTGAAAGTTACTCTTATTTATATTTTATAGATTTTAGAGCATTTTCAAGATAACTGAAAAACAAACCCATTATTCTTCGTTTTTTTTTTTTTTTTTTTTTGACGAAAACGATACTTTATTTTACACTACGTATCAGATGGGTTTTTTTTGTGTTTTTCCTGGCCAAAAAAAATATTGATATGTAGACTAAATAACACAAGACCCAGCACAGTGCCTTGATGCACTCCAGAATCCACAGTGGACCATGCAGTTGATTTTGTCGAATTTATCATGAATCTGTGCTTGTAGTAGCATAGGCCTGAATGATTCAATCCAACATAGTATTTTACTTGATGTCCACTAACTGTTTAATTCCGATTTAAGTAGTTCATGTTGGGCTGTGTCGAAGACTTTTTCAAAATCTTATATAAGTGTATCTGCTTGGTGGCCTTTATCGATGTTTTGGTCCAATCATTGATGACTGTACATAGTTGTGTTTCGCGAATGTGACATTCACAAAAAGAATGTTGTTTTTCATTAATGATATTATAATGATCTAGGTGACTCATTATGTTGGAGCATACTATGTGTTCGAGCATCATGCAGATAATGCAAGTTAAGGATACTTTATAGCAGTAGTTTACCGGTATCGAATGATCAGCCTTCTTGAAAAGTTGTCAGATATCAGTCCACCGTTGTCTATTCATCAGGTATTGAACTGGTATTGTGGAATTGTTGAAAAGGGTGACTAATAATAGGTACTAATTCATTTGATAATTGTTTTAGTATTTTAAGGCTAATTTCGTCTCACCCACATACTTTTGATGTATTGTGTCCATTTAATATTTTTTTCTCACCGCTACTTAAATCATTTCTATGTTTTTCAATTTTGAAAATAAATTGGTTTCTTTAGTGGTACATCTTCAGTTTATGACTTCTTAGTGGATACATTTATGAATTTTTCTATGAGTGTTTCTACTCTGTTACGGTCGTTTTCAGCTGGTCAACTCGTTATGAGAGTTTTTGCTCTTTAGTAAATTTTACCAATTTTTGGTATTTTTACCACTTATCTTGAAAAATATAAAGAACAGTTAGAAACTTTAAATAACAACCTGATTTAGCTGTTATGTATTTCCAAAACTGTTTCCTATAGTCCTTGATATCGCTCTTATCCTATTTTAACATACTTGTTGTGTGATTTCGTCTTTATTAGTTTTCGTAGTTCTCAAAAATCCGTTCATATAAATATTTCTTTCGGTTTCCGTTCCATACTCCGTTTCCACCGTTTAGCAACACCTGATTGAAAGGTGTCAAGTGAACAAGACCTCAAGTTGTACTTACGGTAGAAAGAAATGATGATTGTGTTAACTTTAAAACATCGTAAATGCAAAACTTTTTTCAGTTCTCTTGTTCAGTTCGAAAACATATTCTGGAACTCATAATGTGAAGTTAAATATCGTGCATGGTTCAACATTCATGTCCAGTGCAGGCCAAAAGATGTATGACATCAAGTGGACTCCTCCTGTCAACATACTGCCGAATAATCAATATACAATACAACTTAATATCACTGGACCACAAATATTCCGTGGAAATCATATTTTCAGAATATAACAACTGAAGAAGGTATGTCGGTCAACTTTTTGCCGCCATCCTTGCCATCGCCGAATGAAACAAGTGAAGTGCAAGGACAAATTCAAGGACTTATCTTTGATTAGTAATTTTCTAGGTAATTTTCTACGTAAACGTGAAATGGGATAAAGAAAATACATGACCACAAACGTATATTTTTATATCTTACGTCATTGAGGGGGGTGATACATTATTGTATTAACTGATACAAAAGTCAACAATAGTTTTATTATATGACTTGTTTATTCCATCTCCAGCTTTACAGTATTTGCTCTTGACGAGAGATATGTAACTTCTCTTGTTTTAATACTAACTATACTATCTGCTTTGGCAGTGGCTAATTTTTTTTTTTCTAAGTTGAAATACCAGTATACAATACAATTTAATAAACAAAAATTTTAACACCGAAAAGAAGAAAAAAAGAAAATTTGAATGACGTCATAAACATACATCATTGACGTTGTTTATAAAAATGACGATTTCGGTACACGTTAACGTCACAGTACCCAAATTGCACCGAGTACCCAAATTGCACCTATTTAGCAAAAAAAAGCAGTATGACAAATGCTCGGAACTAAATAAACTACTATATCACCGCCACATGTTCATGTTCCAGGAAACTCGTCAGTGCAGGTTTTTGGTCATGTTTTTTTCATCATTTGGATAATTTGATGTTTATAGTAGATCTTTAAAAGTATCTATTGAATTGACTATTTTACAAACTGTACTTACTAGAGGCTGCAAGTGACACATCATACAAACACCTTTCCTTTATTGAAGATAGTATATGTTGCAATTGACTTATTTTTATGTGTAATGTGGTTCCTGCTTCACTATCGAATACCTCAACAGTCCTTTATTTATCTACACAAAAATACCGATGACAAAGCACTTTAATGTAGCTCTATAAAAACCAACAAAAACACAATACCAGTTCAAGTACAACAGCATTATAAAAAAGTATGAACATATCTTCGAAGTGATTCAAAACGTAGCTGCCAACTATAAATACTCTCATATCAGTGTTCTAACTTCGGAATAGATTTCATATGATACTGTAACGCCATAAACAGAGCAAAACGACACCATTTGGGCAATGTTCAAAATAAATATTAACTGAATATGAATGCAGAAAAAAGTGACGAAACAGTTTGAAAGTTACGTCTTATTTATTACAAACTATAATTTATCAATGAATACTTATAATCGTGTTGAATTATTTAACGAAGAAATAGTAAGTCCTTTAGGCCAATGGATTCCTCAACTTGAAAACGGTACAAAATTGTCCTTAAAGGGAAACATTACCGTTTGTTCATGATTGTTACCCCTTTTTGCGTTATTGTCGAAAATTTTGGTAGATATAGAAAAACGGAAAACAGCAATAATGATTATTTTTTCAAATACATGATTAGTAGACTTCTCATAAATGTTATAAGAGTAATGTAAACCCTTAGGTGATAATTGTAATAAACTATAAAATATTAGCCTAAGTACTACTGCACATGTAGCATGTGTATATTATTGAGAGCGCTGATAAAGAGAAACTGTACTCTGAACACACGACGAGCAACACAAGATAGAAAAGAGATTGTATTCATGAATTATACATATTCTAGTCTATACTATTGGAGAGTTGCCATTGTTGAAGATGCACAGTCATGCGACACAGCTAGGCGATACAGCTCTATAATTAAGAAAATATATTACTCTATGCATAACTTAACACTTGTTGATAAAACTTTTCAATATCTTAAATTAAAAATGCATTGTGCATCATTTTAGAAAATTATTCACGACAAAAGTTTTGTGGTTTTATTTGCAACTTTAAATAATAATTACAAAGAGAAAGCAATATCTATTTATAACTAGATATATACACGTGGCATGATGGTGTTTATCAGCTTATCATATATAATATTTTACTTCCTTTTTGAAGTTGGCTAACGTTTCTTATCAGCTTTTAATTTTGTAATATTCGGTAAGTCTGTTTTAGTTTTTTGCTGATTATATTGCATTCCGGTCTAATTATTCTTGAAGCATATGATAAAAAACACATTTTCACACCATTCTTATTCTTATAAGCCTGCATGGTCAAAGCACGTTTTCGTGATCTTTCAAGAAACACGTACGGACGAGAGAAGTGCCTGTAATGCATAGGCTTCCAATCCTTTTTAATGTCTGTGTTACAGTTTTTATACGCCCGTAAGGTATACCATAGTCATTTAGCCATTCATTCGGCCGTCCGTTCATCCGTCTGCATGTCAACAATAAATCTAATTTGTTTAACCAATTCTCATGAAATTTTCCACACCTTTACGATTATCGAGATGATGTGTCCTCTTTTGAATATATGCAAATTTTGGTTTGTCTATCCAGAGTTATAATTAAAGGCTATTTTTCACATTTCACAAAATATAACTCGAGTTTGCTAAAACCAATTTTCTTAAAACTTAATGCTGTTGTTGGGATGGATAAAAGATGGCTGCTCTGTTTTTATTTACATTTTTTTTGTGTCGTACTAGAGTAGCTTAAGAATGAATCCCTAGATTTTAAGGAAACACCTTTTGATTTTGAAATTATTTTTGTTTGTCTTTTCAGAGTTATTGGACTTTAACTATAATATTTAAGGTGATTTTTCACATGTAACGCACACGCTCAAACAGGAGCACTACGAACTTCTGCTTGTGTTAGGATTGGTGAATGTAGGCTATTAATCAAGTACGAAAATTTGCAGGTCTGATGTTCCAGAGTTGTAGGATTTATCAGTCGATTATAAGCAATATGTATACATCTCACGATAAGTTATCATCATGCAACTTTTTCTAAAGGGCATATATTTACTTCTCACTCAAAATCTTTTAAATAATTCATTTTTTTTTTTTTCATTAGAAAAATTAAAATATTGAAAAGAATGGCGTATCATGCGCAATGGCGCAGTTGTTTACTTGTTATAACATTTCTTCTTATTTGTGCTTTGTATTCTTGGCAAAATTATCTAGAGCACAGTATGAAATACTTTCTATACAAACAGGCTACGTGTGTTTTTTACGGCTCCGAACATTGATTACTTTTGATATGGTTTTATGTTTTTCCAATTTTTGGGTTTTAGCGAGCTATAAAGTTTGAGATGTTTTTCAGGTGTAAACAGTTCTTTCATTACATCATCCTTGATTAGTATTGACATGTGATATCTGTTGTGTTGCCCTAAAATTAATTGATTAAAACATTCCGTCTCCAATGGTATTTGATGACAACTTATGCAAAAGATTAAAAGGGCGGGATTGTGACAAGAGCAAATAAAAGTTAGCACAGGTAATTACATATTACAGAAAAGTATATTTTAGTAGTTCCAATGAACTTGATGAATATAGAAACCTTCAGTTTTCAAAAAAATCTGTAATAAAATAAGAATTTAAAACGTTTTTCAGTGACATGAATTTAGTGCTGATAGTGAGCAAACTATGTTTGAAAAATCTTTTCTTAGTATTAATCCGATGAGTTTAGCCTTTTTCAACTGATTTATACAGTTTGTTCTTTTATTGTGCTGATTCACCACTGTCCAAGGTTAGAAGAGGGCTGCTCGAGCGCTAACAAACATGTTTCACTCCGCCACATTCTTTTTGTGCCTGTCCCAAGTCAGAAGCCTGTAGTTCAGTGGTTGTCGTTGGTTCTTGTCTGTCATATTTGTTTTTCGTTAATTGTTTTGTTAAAAATTAGGCCGTTAGTTTTCTCAATTATATTGTTTCATAATTTTCATGTCGGGGCCTATTATAACCGACTATATGGTATGTGTTTTTTTCCATTGTGATGGCCGTATGGCTGACTATAATTGCTTGCATCCACTCTAAACAATGTTTATCTTTAGTAGATACTTGTCTCATTGGCAATCATATCACAGCTCCGTATTTTTATAAGAGTCAACTGATGTCAATGTATTTTGATCACGAATTGGGCTAATGAAATGTTAATTCTTACAAACGTCTTATTCATCTAAAGCCTTTTTATATTAATTTCTCTAATCATTGGAAACAAATGTAAAAAAAAAAAATAAAAGTATTTCTCAAGAAAAGAAATTTCAAGACCTGCCCATCCCCTAGTACCAGCGAAATGCCATACAATTTATGCGAGCTCGTGTAAATATGTGTTTCAATTTCAGTAAGACATGCTTTCTCATTTGTTTTATTATTTAATTTAAGAATATCATGGAAGCAAAATCTGATTGGCAAATAGGAAAATCACTCTCAGATCGAATGAAGTACATGTTAGATAACCAGCTTATGTGTGACGTCACCTTCCACGTCGGAATAGACAAGACACCAATCAAGGCCCATAAATATATGCTGGCTAGTTCCAGTCCTGTATTCTACAGCATGTTTGAAGGACCACTGGCAGAAAAAGGGACTGTTGAAATAGCTGATATGAAACCGGAATATTTTAATATGATCTTACTGTGAGTTATTATAGCACTTTGTATTGTTCAACAAGTCATTTCCCATTAAGAGTAGTGTGAACTCTGACGTTTTGGGCCACAGGCAGTACTCGAGTTATGTATCCAAATGTAATATGTGTTGTATGTTTAATGGAACTTAATATTCCTACTATTATGCAATACAGGATACTGAAACCTAGTATTCTTACTATTATGCAGTTAGGGGATATAATGAAAGCAAACGTTTGGCCTCTATTCTATATAAAATGGGAAAGCAGGGATATACATGAACTCACAAAAAATGGATATAGAATAAATTCTCCTATATCAGTCTATTGAATATAAATCATACAATTCAACTCCCAACCATGGGAAGGAGTCGAAATACGTGTTTGGGATACTTAATCTAAAACTATTCTGTGAAACATATCCCCAACAGGTATATGATACATAAAAGGCGTACACGGAATCCATGTGGGCTGAGGTACCCTATTTGAAATATAGATATCATTTTAATTTTCCACCATGAAATGTCGAGATAAGAATATTTGTGCTATACATAACAATACCTTACTTATTGACTGCATTTAGAGAAAGAAAATAAATAACGTAGAGGACACAACTATTCTCCTCTTAAATGTCTTCAATGTTTGTTTTTTTTAAACAGGTTTCTATATACAGACAAGATTACTGTCGATTCTAATAATATAAGGAGCCTTTTGTATGGATCAGAAAAGTATATGCTACAGCTATTGAAAGATGAGTGTGATGCATTCTTAGCCTCGAATGTGGATATTGATCATGCATGTGTTGTCTTGCAGATAGCACATGACTTCAACATGGAAGACTTAAAAACGAAAGCATTGCATTTCATTTTCGAAAACGGTAGTAGAATTCTTGATTCAAAAGATTTCTTAAATTTGTCAGCGGAATGTCTTACACTATTACTTAATTCTGATAAATTCCGTTGCGAAGAAGAACACATTTACCAGCAAATGGTACAATGGGGTCAACATAAATGCAAAGATAAAAGTTTACCGGCAACGGATGAGAACGTAAGAGAATGTCTTGGTGATTTGTTATATCTCATACGTTTTCCCGTCATGAAACCTAAATATTTTACGGAGGAAATTTCTTGCAAAAGTGTACTTACTGCGACCGAGATAGTCAAAGTTTTTCAACATTTTAATGATAAAACAACAGATATCTTCCCTTCAAAAAAGCGCATTTCTAAAATTAAGATTGAAAGGTGTCAACTGAACAAGAAATCAAGTTGGACTTGCAGTGGACTAGATGATTGTATTGACTTCAAAACATCTTTTAATGCAAAACTCTCGGTGGTCCTCTTGTTCGGATCGACAACATATTCTGGAACTGATAATGTAAAGATAAATATCGCACGTAATTCTGTAATCCTAAGTACAACGCAAACTGTATTGACATCCAGTGCAGGCCATGAGATTTATAAAATCAAGTTGAATCCTCCTGTCCATGTATTAGCGAATAACCAATATACCATACAAGTAAATATCACCGGACAAAGTACCTTCAAGGGCAAGGAGTATATTCGGAATGTAACAACGGAAGAAGGTTTTTCGGTCAATTTTCTGCCATCATCTTTGCCATCGACTAACAGTACAAGCATATCAAATGGACAAATTCAAGGACTTTTCTTTGATTTGTAATTTCGTTTACAATTAAGAAATTCATTAATACGTGAAACCAAAAAAAAAATATAGTTGTATAACTCACATTTACGAATAGTAAAATGGATAAGGAAGTGTTAATTCGCATCTATCTGTGTTGATCAGGAATAATTTGTTAATAAACGTCAATGAGACAGCACCAAAAGATACAAACTGGAAAAGACTATAGAGTTCAACATACGGTCATCTATAATAGACTAATGTTTACAAAATGCAACGAGCTCTTACTCTCCTTGTCCACGAGCAGTATACAGCAGAAACTAAGAAATTAAAACACGGACTACTCACTAGTACGTTAATTTAAAATTTTGTGCGTTCATTTATTATAATAATTGCGATTGTTGGAAAATCGACACACATGCGAGTTTAATTATTGCGATTTCAGGAAATGCTGCATACACATTATGCTATCAAAATTTAAAATATGATTTTTTTATCTTTGCGACACCTATCTCGTCGCAAACGCTATGATAAAATTAACGCAAAATTTCTGATTTAACAGTACTAAAGACTATTCCGACGTTCTTCATTAGAAAGATTCTTACGACACAAGTTTTCGGGGTCAGAACTTCTCGTTTTTGTAATTCTTTTTTCACTGCATGCGCTTCTACTTGTAAACGTTTGACTTGGTTACGGGTGCTGATGTTGCTAGAACACATGAAGAAACTTCAGGCGAACTACACTGTCTGTCACTGTCTGTCACAGATTTATCCACATCATGTTTAGGGGCGCAAATTTTTGCTGCTTATGATATTTTCACATATGTTAACTGTTGCGTTGCCAGAACCATCTTATATTTTTAATAAAGATGGGCAAGCATTACTTTCATATAACTTTGCTGTTAATAGCAATGCATTTCGAAGTCAACTATTTAAACGTTAAATATATTTATTATTTTTGAAGTGGGACTGCCCTTGACGGGATGCACAATCATTTTAAGAGATCATATTAAGCGCTTTTCTATTGATATAATAATCTATTTGTATTTGAAAAGATTTCAACGTCAGTGATCATTATAGATATCTTTTCCATTTTTTTTAAATCGTAGAAACTGGAAGGGAAGAAAACATGCTTTTGTGTGAAGTATATAGGAACAAATAGGTTATTTCTGGATTTGGATAGACTTTAATTTCTTTTCCTTCTACTACTAACGTCATTTCGATCTTTCCCTTACAAATGCAACTGGCAATAGGCATTATATGCAGATTCAATCATTGAAAATCCATTTCATCAGCTCTGCTGACTGTTAAAATTACCAATTATCATGGCATCAAATGCATACAAAAACAAGTGCGCGTGTGCATTTTATTGTTCAAAGATAATTATATATTCATATATAAGCGCAAATATTGGCTATAAAGTTCAAACAAACGCTAACTACTAGTATTTTATCAAACTTCTTTCTTATGGTCTGTTTTGATGCTGCTGTGGACAATGTTTTCCGACTATAAAAAATGTTTTAATTAATAAATATTTTTTTATCAGAAAGTTTAAGGAGGCAATTTCCTTATCCGCTTCTATTTAATCTACGGCCATGATACTTTAAGATGTGTTATTCTTTTATTTTCTGTTACTCTGAAATATTGAACATTTACGCCAATGAGTTTTAGGGACCACATATAGTAACGCTTTCATATAGATATAAGAAGATGTGGTATGAGTGCCAATGAGACAACTCTCCTTCCAAGTCAAAATTTATAAAAGTAAACCATTATAAGTCAAAGAACGGTCTTCAACACGGAGCCTTGGCTCACACCGAACAGCCAGCTATAAAGGGCCCCAAAAATTACTAGTGTAAAACCATTCAAACGGGAAAACCAACGGTCTAATCTATATAAAAAACGAGAAACGAGAAACACTTATGAACCACATCAGCAAACGACAACTACTGAACATCAGATTCCTGACTTAGGACAGGTGCAAACAATAGCAGCGGGTTTAGATATACCTATATACTCTATAGCCCTTGAATAGTATAATTTTCTCAATACAACGTTAATGGTGTATGGTGTATGTGTCAAATGGGAAATAGAGCATGAATAATGGTGTGTGGGTTTTCAAATTTTAGTTAGACATGTCAAAGTAAAAAAACGATATTATAATAATCAATTCCATTAAACTGCTACATTGTTGGGAATTTTGAATGGTGCGAATAAATCATGTTTGATTCAGAAAGGAAAGGGGAATGGTGTATTGTGTTGTAGTGTATTGTGTATGGTGTAATGCTACACGGTGTAAGTAGGAAGTTTAAACCATTACCACCATTTATTGTTATTGTCATCTGAAAAATCGATGCATTTGAAATTGCACTAAGTTACTCGCTTAATCTTGGTCTGACATCTCCACAAAATTTATAAACTATGAACAAAGACTTTGACTTAGGCAAAATAAATCTCCGATATTTTCCACTCTGAAGACAGACACATACAGATAAGACATGACCAACTTTGTTTATTCTCAACCATTTTCTCTCTTTTCGCTATCAGTGAAATCATAAAAGTTACAAAGGAAAAGCACAATGGAAAGTAGTATAGAAAAATATTTGAATTTAACAATGATAGTTAAACAAACACAGGCCGATGAAAAACTGTATTGCCATATCAACGAATAGTCTATTTTCTAACAACATCGCATATTGAAACAATTACATCTTTCGATTGAATAATGCCTCCTAATATTCTAATGCAAAAGGTATACGTTGTATAGTTGATTAAAACTGGTTTTAACATGTATTTTAGCAGTATATGCTGCTACACGATTCAATTAAAAGATCCGGTTATAGAATTGGCATTGACAGGGTAATGCTTTAAAAGAGATTCCCTGTAGTATTTAGAGTGTTTCTTCATCATTACAGCACAGTATTCAGTAAAAAAGTTTAAAAAAAGACAAAGATGTAATAAGTATTTATCTTTATTTTTGATAAAAACAAACTACTTCAGATAAAAGCTCCAGTAAAGAAAGTTTAGTAAAATAAAAACAAGGGGAAATAGAACCCGAGACACTCTGTCAATTTGGCTGACACTGTTTCTATGTTTTCGTCTTTTAATATGTCTTCGATTCTTTATACGCAAGCTTGACAACCATACACGAAGACGACTTTCACCTCGACAAAGGAACACGCGATTACTAGGAATATTTGTGTCTGGATGGAAAGATTTGTTTTGAGGTTTCCCATTCCTTGTGTGCTGAAAAAGATAAAGAAGTAAGACTTAGTACTTAGTAAATGAAAGGTAAGTTAGTTAATACAATTCTATTGTCATTTCGCAAGGAATACCGTATAGCGGTTTGTTTTAGCGGGTGTTAAATCTCGCGATTTTCATTGAATAAGGTATACACAATATTTTGGCGGTTATTATTTTGACAGATTCAAAACCTTTATACAATACCATTGGATGTGCACTTTTAAATTTGAGGAATTTATTTTGGCGATTTTGTTCTATCCACGAAAATAAGCGAAACTTTACACCCTGCGAAAATAACCCGCTATACGGTATTAAATGAGAAGTGACAAACATTTTCAGTTTATTGTCCAAAAGGTATTTTGATAATGATTGTAATGGCACAGATAGTCCATAAACCTACTTGCACTATACAGCTATTATATCATTCATTTAGATAATGGGTGTATTCTAAACCATAAGAACACAAAAGGTGTGGGTCCTTTACTCTAAATTCCGATTATTTTTAAGATTTCAAGTGCGATTTGAGTGTGGGCTTAGCCATTTTCCTGTTCGCAAAAGCGTTATAAAATATGACTATACATTTTGAGTAGACAAGAGGGACCAAAACCTTAAAATTGGTAATTGCGGCGCGCATAAGTAAGAGTAAATTGGTCTTCCAATGGCAGAATAAAGTGAGTGAAAAGAGTGAACGGTGTTCATATGGACCTTGTGAGATAGTGCTTTAAAAATCGACCTCAGAGTGTCATTCGTTTACAAAGCAGGAAAATATTCTTATAACATAATGTATTGTGTTACCGTCCTAGATATGCATGTATTATTTGCCACTGGCGTTAAAAACTGATCAGTTCATGGTTTTGGTTTTAAAAAGATGTGCTTTTCGATATAAATACTTGAATATACATACATGAAAACGGAGGTGTTGAGCATACGTCAATGAGACAGAAACCCAAGGATACAGATAAACAATAAACATTTGGAAGAATAATGACTTTTACCGAATAATGATTTTCCGTTTTCGAAGTTTTAGTGTTTAACCTTAACATGCGAAAAAAGCCAAACGATAAAAACAGTCAATGGCGTCATCTTCCAATTGAAAAAAGTTTGTGAAATAATATATGATTGCACAATAATTTACCTATTTCACTATCTTTTATTGTTATAACCAGCAAATAGTCTGCGAAAGGATTATGGAGAAAAAAAATAAGTTATATTTCATTTTTTTATATAAAAAAATAACATATTGAGGAATAATGATATTGACGATTTACTCTACATGTACAATCTGATACCATTTAGTTTTCGGAACATGATTCATTTCACATAAGTTATAATAGTTAACCAGGTTTCACTATACTATTTGATAATATTCTTACTGTAGCCTCGTCTTCAGATTCTTCATCCTCTTCATCGTTATCAGTTGGTGATGGCTCCACATCTCCATGGCCATGTTTTGTGAAACGATGAACTATTGCAAACTGCACTATTGCACTCAGAATAAATACAAAGCATAAGGCAATATACAAATCTAATGCTGTAGCATATTTTACACGAGGTAGATCACTCCGGCTGTCCAACGCTAGGAAAGCCATGGTCAATACTGTCGTTGTACCTTCAAATATTAGAAAAAAGTTACTTGCAGATTTTGTATTGCCTTTAACAAAAATATTGCAAAAAGTCCGTTACCATTCCGCACCTTGCATTATAAGTCTAATCATCTAATCATAAACATGTTTGTGGGAGTGCAATTGTTGTCACTGTCTTCTTGTTCGTGATGCTATCGATTTCCAGGCACATGCTTTAGCAAATATATGATTTGATATTATTACGTGACTATTTCTGTATTGGCCTTGTTATTGGTCCGTGGCTTGCTCTATTTGCCTGAGGCTAAGCAGACGACCAATACAGCTGGCCGAGGACCAATAACAAGGCCAATACAGAAATAATCACATAATGATATCTTTTTTAATTAACTACAGTTTTTACCTGTTTTTTGTGTTTAATTTCATTTCACAATAGTTTAACATTTTTTACCTTGAAATGGAACTATCTAAATCTGAGTTTCCTTTTTATAATTTGCAATGTCAAATGATGTGGTGCTGTTTCGAGATGGTCTACATGTTTTGATTATTTTTTCATCCTTTTCAGTCACTATAAAGTTTTACATATTTCATATTTAGACACATAAAAAGTAATAGGAAAGGTACTGGCATTGCATGAGAGATGCAGAAACGAAAGGATTAAATAAAACTAGGTATTGAATATGATTAACAATGAGACAACTATCCATAGACCAATTGACCAAAGAACAAAGACTTGAACAATTACAGGCAATCCTTCAACAATTCATCTGCCTGGTTCGGGTTGAAAAATAAATGGCACCTTACAAAAAACATGTGAAGCGAAAGTAAACAGTAAATCGAGTTGTACCCATTAAATTGATTAAATGTTTTTCTGCTTACAAAAAGCTTTTTCAAATGAATGCGACCGTTTTTAACCTGAAATGTCTGCCACACTGAACGTTTTGGCATGTTTATGGTGTATAAATAAAATAGCGTCTTCCAAACGACAGTTACATTACGCTGGTGTTTCATCGTTACTTTCGATCTAAAAATCCGGGACGTTCCAAATTCCTATATTGGC